ACGGAATTTGTAGCTGAAAAAGCAGTTCCCGTAGAGGAGACGGGCCACGAACCTATTTAAAGATATTGGTCCTCCAAGTACACTAGAACGTAAATGGTTCCTGATGGAACCTACAGTAGATGAATGGAACCTAAAGTAGAGAAGACGAACAACAAATTTATCTAAATTTAAATTTATAAAGTGGCCTTCCAAATATACTAGGACCGGAAAAATTCAACACACACGGAGAGAAATATTCAATAAAAATTACGTATCTTTTCCGTAATTCCGGAGCGAAATGTGGTTGTAGGAAATTTTACGGAACTGTCACGGAATTTTTCCGAAGCGTTCCGTAATTTTTATCTGAATCTCTTGTGAAAAATTACGATACCGCCCCTTAAATTTTCTGAGTCGATTCCGTAATCGGTGAGTGAAGTGAGAATTCGGTAATTTTTACTGAACATTTCTCTCCGTGCACCCTCGCAACGAAAAACCGATGAAATGTGAAATTTTTGGAAGTAATTACTCCATTATAATCCAAGTAAAGTCACACAACTCGAGTTTTATCAAATGGTCATCATGTGATCATATCTACCCACTCAGAAGAAACTCAATCGACACATTCGAGATCATTGAGACTGTCCAAGTACCTTTTACAGTTACTCACGGACCGCACTATAGATCTGGAGATTTTTAATCATCGAATTACCTTTTGCTGAAATTTACTCTCTATACATTCCCTTTTTGCGAATAAATCATGTAAATTACCTAAACTTTCGAAAACTTCATTCTTCGCGCGTAGACTTGATTTCGGGTGAAATTCTGAATATTAACAAATTTTTCCATGAAGTAAAGGTAACTTTACCCACTCCGTTTACAAAACCAGCAGTTTAGCTCCATTACCACCCTGAACAGTGAACTCGGCAGGTATCGCAAAATAGTATATTGTATTACTAGTGCGTAAAGTTCCACTTTTTCACACGCACGTGTAACACATCCTATTTTTTGTGGTATCTGCCGAGTTCACTGTTCGGAACGGTAGTGGGGTGATGTAGTTTTTTCGCACGAGTGCGTAAAATTCGAGAGCGTGCGTAAAGTGAATTTTGCATGCGTAAAGTGAAGCATTACACTCTAAAAAAAAGTTACTACTCACTAGTACTGAATTCTACTTGGGAGAAGTTTTCTTGTGAAAAGTTGGGAAACTACTTGTCCCAAGTACTTTTCATGTCCTAGGGTGAAGTACAATATTTGCTAAGCAAGTAGGAAAAGTACTAGGAGGAAGTACTTTTATTACTTCCTGTCAGTATTTTTCTTACTTCTCACAAGTACCTTTGATGCTTGGAGCAAGTAATTTTTCTACTTCTCGCGAGTACTTTTATGACTTGATTCCAGTACTTTTGGTTGGTTATTTTGTTGAGGAATTTCATATCATTAATTATCATTCTCATTATCATTATCATTCTCAGATGACAATTAACAAATTTCATCAAGGGGAGGTTACGATGAGTTTCAAAATCGCGAGATATTGCAGTAAGATTTATTACACATTGATGATCGATTATTTATATATGTTGAAAGACGAAGAATAAGTGGGGAAAAAAACGATTATTTCTTGTTGATTTGCCCCCAAGACCTTGAAAATGAAGAAAAATAGCACAGTGTACTCAATTTTTGACCTACGGACGTATTTTTTCTTCAAAATTTTTAAACAGATGTGTAGAATAACAATTACGAGATAATTTTTTTGAATTCGACTTCTAAATAGGCAATTTTATTCTTTGTCGCATAACGAAATTGCAATTTTTATACAAGATAGCTCAAAAGATTAATACTTCAATTTTTTTTTCAATATAAAATATAACAATTATTTTGAGGATCATTTTACTGGCTATTTCGCATGAATATTACATTTTTTGTTATTAAAAAAATGACTATTTGGAAATTAAATTTGTAAAAATTAGTTGGTAATTGTTATTCTACACATCTTTTGAAAAATTTTGAAAAAAAAATCTCTGTAGCTCGAGAATTTATTACATTGGACTACATTTCAATTTTCAAGCGTTTGAGGGGCAAATGAACAATAAACAATAATTTTATTTGCATTAATTCTTCGTTTTTCAGCGATCTCTAGTGTATGATAAATTTTACTGTAATATTCCGCGAAAATCCATTAGTACTGGATTTGAGTGCTATTACTACTTGTCTCGAGTATTTTTTCTACTTTTGAGAAGTACAGCTCGGTACTCAGTACACGTACTTTTAGTACTGATGATGAGTACAGTTGGTACTTGTCACCAGTACCAATTGTACTTGGAGCATAAAACTTGTATTCAGTCGATTTTTGACTTGAACCAAGTAAAAAAATTACCTTTTCTCCAGAAACCCCTCGGTACTGAATACAAGTAGTTTTCCTACTTATCAGAAGTAATCTTTTTTTAGAGTGTATGTACGAGCATTCACTCTACGCACGCTCGTGAGCTTTATGCATGTCATGCGGAAAACAACCACTTTACGGACACTAAAACGAAATATACTATTACACACTCTTGTCGAAATATAATATCTTTACACGTGCAGGTGGAAAAGTGCAAATTTACGGACTTTCAAGACAATAGTATTTCACGAGTTGATAATAGTATTTTATGCCTCTAGGGACGGAAAACCGCGATTTAACCGAGCGAAGCGAGTCCTCGAGGCATCAAATATCGTGTGCCACACGGCAGTAATAGTAGATTACACACCTTGGCCAGTAAAGTAAGGAATGTCTCAGATCACATGTAATTGTCGGNTTTAACCGAGCGAAGCGAGTCCTCGAGGCATCAAATATCGTGTCCCACACGGCAGTAATAGTAGATTACACACCTTGGCCAGTAAAGTAAGGAATGTCTCAGATCACATGTAATTGTCGGGCGAGGCGAAGCCGAGGTCAACAAACATGTGATCTGAGGCTTTTTTATTTACTGGCCAAGGTGTGTATACTATTTTTCTGCTCGACGTAGCCGGAAAGTGGCAACTTCGTTTAGCGCAGCGGCCAGGAAGTTGACGCTTTCCGGCCGGAGGGCAGAAAAAGTATTTTCTGACTCATGTGATTATAACGTCACATTCGTCAGAAAATACTTTTACTCCCTAGGGGCACAATATACTATTCATCACTGGGACGTGTATTTTCATCACTTGTGCGTGGTTTTCAATTAAAAACCAGAGTTTATAGCAGAGATGTCAGACTACATGTGAATGTTTTTTTGGGCTCAAATGAAAGAGCCAGTCTCAAAATGGCGTGCAATTGTATATTTACGATGGTATAGATACGATGGATTTTCCAAAGTTGAGTCTCATCACCAGTTTTATTTCTCTCTTTTATTTTTCTTTCTTTTCTCACGTCTAATTGCTATCAACATTGAATCGCATGTATTGAGCTCCTGATAGAGATAATTTGATACTGTACGAAAGAAATGGATTCTAGGCTGAACACGTATGAAAAAATCGTATAGAAATTTTCTGTACGGATTGCGCATAGAATTTCTATAGGATTTTCGTATATGATATTCGGATATTTCTAGACGGATATTTTTTTGTACAAATTATTTCTATACGATTTCTATAGGTTTGATCCTATACGACCCACTCGCCCATGTATAGAAACCTTTCGTATGGAGTTGCGACATTTTTCTACGTTTTTCTCTGGAGCGTTTAGACATGTTTTGTATGAAAACAAAAAATTTATGTAAAAATTGATGTAGGGGAGGTTGGGGTAAAATGGGCACTTTTGACTTTTTTAAAAAATATTAGTGACGTGTTGAAATGATGATGAAATTTAATAATTTTTTTTTCAATACAAAGAGCAATTCATTCCCGTTGTGATGAACCTAAACTGAACTCTATTGATACATTTGTTTCTGAGTTATGAATAATTGTAAAAAAGTTTAGTGTCCATTTTACCCTACCCTCCCTTATAGAAATAATTCGTATAGAAAATATTCGTATTGAAATATTCGAATATCATATACGGAAATCCTATAAAATTTTTACACACAATTTTTTTTTACACACAATTCGTATAGAAAACTTCTATTCGATTTTTTCATACGTGAAGGCTCTCGGGCAATGGCCATTTGTAAGAATGTAGGGGAGGCTGGGGTAAAACGGACACTTTAGACTTTTTTTTCTAATGTTAATGAGGTGTTGAAATGTTGATGAAATTTAATAATTTTCTTTTTCAATACAAAGAGCAATTCTTTCCCTTTGTGAGCCTAAACTGAGCTCAATTTATATATTTGTTTCTGAATTATGAATAATTTTAAAAAATTCTAAAGTGTCCATTTTACCCTCCCTTATAGAAATAATTCGTATAGGAAATATTCGTATTGAAATATTCGAATATCATATACGGAAATCCTATAAAATTTTTACATACAATTCGTATAGAAAATTTCTATTCGATTTTTTCATTCCTTTAAGGCTCTCGGGCAATGGGCATTTGTAAGAATGTAGGGGAGGTTGGGGTAAAACTGACACTTTTGACTTTTTTTTCTAATGTTAATGAGGCGTTGAAATGTTGATGAAATTTAATAATTTTATTTTCAATACAAAGAGCAATTCTTTCCCTTTGTGAGCCTAAACTGAGCTCAATTTATAAATTTGTTTCTGAATTATGAATAATTTTAAAAAATTCTAAAGTGTCCATTTTCCCTAATATGTTTCTTGCAATAAATAACGTTAAAAGTTAAGTTAAGTGAGTATACAATTAGATATCAGAAAATAGTGGCGGTTCCACTTACGAAGAAAAACAGGACGAGTCCTTTTCGCCGCTACTTATTGATCTTGATCACCAGTATCAACAATTGAAATCATTCGAATTCATCTCACCGGGCAAAACCCTCGCCATACTCTCACCACGCCATCTGGCGAAATCTCCCATCACTAAAATTAAATCGCCCGTCGAGAACTGTGATGATAACTGATATCATGGCGCTCATGTTTTTCTCCATCGCAGAGTAAAAAAAAAATATGCGCGAGAATCAGCTGAACTCCGGCAGTCTCCGGTGCACACCAGGATAATTGTCCCTCAATATTGGGATTGTCAATCAGTCCACGGTGACTACCAACACCTAGAACAATAGACCCATCCTACTTCGTCGATTAATCAACGACAGACCTCGCCGAACTCCCGAAAATGTTCTAGTGTCAAAGATGAATTCTAAAGACAAAGACAACAAGACCATTGATAAACTCAAGCAATTTTTTCGAATAAACAAAGGTGAGTACCCAACAATGAGCCTAGAATCGACAATTAGCGGGATTAAAACCCTGGAACAATCGGTTGTCAGGTAATTACAAGAGTCGAGAGGATTTTACGTTGACGCAGGACATTGAGAAGGTGATAAGCTCTGAGAGCCCAGTGCACCAGCGAACGAAGGCTATCAAAGACCTCTGCGATCCAGTGCTGAATCAACAATGGGAGGACGTGAGTATATTTATTATTGCTTATAAAACCCATCGAGAATTTCCGAAGGACCTCATGAAGATGAATGAATTAGTGGGCATGCACTGAGAGAAAAAATTGGCTCTGCCGAAAAGATAAATGTTCACCTGTACAAAATTTTCGTCTTAAGATTATTATTCCGCACGAGAAAATATTCTGCAGCGAAAAATTGATTCTTTCCACTGGAAAATCTGGCAATTGCATATGAATACATATTTTTTCAAGTAGAATGCCAGGATTCAAATATCATGAAAAGTATCAATAATGTTGATATTTTTGAGCGGAACAAATATATATTCGGCACAGCAAATTTTTTCTCTCAGTGTGCGATAAACCGTTATAAGACGAGTCCAACATCTTTGTTGGATGTCCATTTATCTAAAAATTTAGGGATTCCAGGGGGGAATGTCAAGAGATCTTTGTTATAGCTGGAGAAATTTTTAGTGAAAAATGTCTTTGAGGTTTTCATCTGTAACGACTTGTTTCTGAGATAAATTGACAAGTTTGACGAATGTTTGAATTGATCCATGGTCCATGGTCGTTGATTAGTTATTAATCTATATTGTTTATTAATCACAGCAAAAGTGGTTCTAGAAAAAAATAAAAAGATCTTTTTTTGTAATAAATTTCCAAGAAGAAATATCTGACGTTTTCATTTGCAATGAGTTGTTTTAAAGATGAAAGAGCAAGCTGAGAGAGAGAGAGAGAGAGTGAAAAAAGACCGTATTTTTCTTGTTATCTAATAAAACTCAAGAAATGAATAAATTATTGAGCATGCGATAAATCGTTATAAGACGAGTCCTCTTTGTTAGATGTCCATTTATCTAAAAATTTAGGGATTCTAGGGGAATTTCAAGAAATCTTTATTGTATAAATAATGGATAAATTTTTAGTGAAAAGTGTCTTCGAGATTTTCATCTGTAACGACGTGTTTCTGAGATAAATTGACAAGTTTGAGGAATGTTTGAATTGATCCATGGTCCCTCCATGGTCGTTGATTATTTATTAATCTATATTGTTTCTTAATCGCAGTAAAAGTGATTCTAGCAGAAAACGTAAGGAGATCTTTTTTTGTAATAAATTTACACCAAAAAGTGTCTTTTGACGCTTTCAATTGCAATGAATTATCAGTACTCCGAAATGGTGTTGATTGACTTTGATTATAAACAATATGAAGTGAATTTAAAAGTATACTTATATGTTACACATTTTTTCAATACATAATCAAAGTCGTTTAGGGATGTTTTGACCAAATTCGAGGAATTTCGAGAAGAAAAAATTATAAATAAAATAGATCCAGGACGAAAGCCAACTTGTATGACGGCTCAAAATACTTGTTTTGATTATAAGAGTTACTGAAAAAAAGATGAGAAAAATAAACGGCGACATAATTTTGGAAAATCAAGTTTTTTAATTTTTTTTTTTAAATTCGTGTTATGAGCACCTAGGGATTGAAAAAAAAAAATTCCCAAAATCTGATTGTAGATGGTAAAAAATGGAAAATTTGGAGCCGTCATAAATTAAAATCGTCTGAGCAGACACCGAATTATTGAAGAAAAACTAAAAAACAAATAAAAAATCATATCTCCGGAATGGGCTGTGGAAAAAATCTGAAAAAAATAGAGAGATTATTTTTCCAGCCCCCCGATTGTAGAGAAAATCGAGATCAACATCCAAGAGGGTGAGGGTCACCTGTTGACTTATTTGACATGGAATACTTCATATATATATAACGATCTGCATTATTATATGTAGCGAGACGTATGCAAAAATTCAATAGAAACCCTAGCGAATTCGCCAGAAAATTCTATTGAAATTCTATAGGAATTTTATGGGGTTTCTGTAGAATTTCTACTTGTATTTTGCGCTGATTCTATCGCATATTTGATAGGAAAAGTCAAAATATTTTGAATTTCTGTTCAAATTCTTCTCTTGAGATTTCTTCTATTAGAATTATTGGGCACATATTTTCCAAGTTTATTCCACTCGATTTTGTATTGTTTTACATGACAAAATCCGAGTGAAAAAAAAATAAAAAATTGAAACCCAAGCATTCTTATAGAAAAAATCTCACCAGAAAAATTCAAATAGAAATTCCAAATCTATTGATTTTTTCCTATCGAATACCCCATAGAATCAGCGCAAAAAAACAAATAGAATTTATCAATAGAATCCCAATAGAAATTCTATAGAAACCCCATAAAATTCCTATAGAATTCCAGTATGATTTTCTAGCGAATTCGCTAGGTTTTCTTTGGAATTATTTCATACGCGGATCTGTGCTCGTGAGAATGATGCGATAAATATGAATCTTCAGCAAACATAACCGTAATATTTGAAGATGTTTTCAAAAAAATAAATTCTCCCACGAAAATGATTCTTTGTCAGCGTATTCTCTTCTATTCTATTACCCCCCCCCCCCGTACCAACTCACCTCCACTAAACCCTCTCTTGAACCCCTCAGAGAGCACCCGAGCGTCTCTGGAGCCTAGTAGAAGACCTCCTAAACAAGGACGTCCCCCGCGAGCACCGCCACATAGCCCTGAACTTCCTCTGCTGTCTCGTCCAGGGCCAGTACACGAAGCTCTCCTCCCTGATGCGCGTTAAATTCTTCAAAGTGGTGAAAGACCACGACATCATCGAGGACATAAGCCCTCGCCTGGAGCTCCTCCAAAAGCTCACGGACAACGGCAAAGACATCCTCCACCTCGAGGAGAAAATGGGTCCATTCCTCCTGGAGTGGATGCCAATAGTCACCGGAGGCGATGGCAAACGAGGTGCTGAATTCCTCTCCCTCCTGGTGAACGTCATCAAGTACAACTCTGCGTACATAGACGAGGACATAATATCGGGCCTGGTCCAGTACATCTGCCACCTCTGCTACTACAGCAACAGTTCAGAGGTAGTCTCAGGCTGCTTGGAGACCCTGGACACAATAGTAGGCTACAACATAAACCTTCAATCTGACTCCCTCCAGACCTTCATAACAGCCTTGTGTCGATCAGTGAACGTTGAGAGCTACTGCCAGATCAGCTGGAAGATCATGAGGAAGCTCCTGGGCACTCACATGGGCCACTCAGCCCTGTACACAATGTGCAGACTCCTGCAGGACCCGAATTTCCAGCGAGACGTTCGCCTCCTCCGAGGGGCTGTTTTCTACGTGAACATGGGACTCTGGGGGACCCACAGGATCCCGAAGCTCGAGTGCACCCCCATCTCAGTCCTTCCCTCATTCATCCAAGCCCTGAAGTGCAATCACCCTATCGTCATGTACGAAGTGACTCTCTCGATCCAACGTTTGGTCAACAAATTTGGCCCTGATCTCCAGGAGCCCACCTGGGGGGTTGTCCTCGATATTATCGAACAGGTGATAGCCCACACTGAGACCAGCAACCAGCCAGCCACCAAGCAAGTCTCCTCGAGCCTCCACGAAACGATAAACAGCATTGAGAACCTGGTGGACACTTCCCAGTACAACGGCTGTCTCCAACGGTTCTACGAGCTCGTCGAGAGGTGCTCTGATGCTAGACCTGAGATATCTATCCTCAAGCTCATTGACCACAGGGCTGCCTCCATAGGTCCCACTTACTACAAGTGGCAGTCGAAGCTGGCGACGCTGATGGAACGCTACTACAAGACAGAGACGAGAACCAACATCAGGGTCAAAGTCCTGGACGTTGTGACGAAAGTCATCCAGGTGAACAGGTCCAAGTACGAGGACGAGCTGATAGAGAGGATTGTCGTGCCCTACCTCCAACACGTAGATGTGGATCCAGACATAACGATTCGCAATGTGGCTGCCAATCTCCTCGTCGAGCTCTGCCACGAGTGCGAGACCAAAAGGTGTCTAGAACTCATGGACATCCTTGAGAAGATTATCAACAAACCGTTCACCTCGGACACCCCAATGTCAGCGGATGCTGACATCAAGGACATCAAGACAGCTGTCGTGGGGGTGATAAAGATCTTGGTGGTGAAGATTTATAATCTTCCGTCGAGCCATGCTATTCGTGCCTACAGGATCCTAGTCAGTCATCTGGAGCAGCATTACAAGGACCCCCACATCTTCCACGAGATATCGACCATCAGGTATTTAGTATTTAGTATTCTAGTGTTCGTTGGAGATTACTTTGTTAGAGCTGGATACATTTTGAATACTAAGTGTCGCTTGAAGTTTTCATCTGCATCTTATTGGTTCTGAGATTAATGCACGGAGAGAAATATTCAAGAAAAATTACGGAACATTTCACGTAATCCGCAAGCGAGAATCGTTTTCAGTGAATTTCTATAGGAATATAAGAGAATAAATCTGAAACGTTCAGTAAATTTTCGGGTCTGTCACCGAAAAAATACGAAAAAGTCACGTAATTTTTCTGGAAGTTGTAAAATCTAGCAGAAACTTTAAGATTTATTATGCCTCAGAACATGAAAATTCTTGGATGTTTAAGAATTTTTACGAAAAGTTCCGGAAAAATTACGGAACGTGTTGTTAAAATCTCCCCCTCACGGTGACTCATGGCTAGCCGTGAGGCGTCGGACGGATGAGTCATTTTTACGGAACAGATCGTAGAAATTACGTGACGATTGACACTTTTTATTGAATTTTACTTCGCTCCCAGATTAATTTTTATTGAATATTTCTCTCCGTGTGAACAAGTTTGAATTGGCTCTTCATGGTCATTGTTTATGCTTTCTATTCGATTGAAGTATATAATAGTCTCCACGGACGAAAAAATTCAATAGAAAAACCTATCGAATTCGTTGGAAAATTCTATTGAATTTCTATTGAGCTGTTCTATTAGTTTTTGGCCGATTCTATTGAAATGTTCAATAGAAAATATTCAGTAGAAAAAGTCAATAGAATTCAAGTTTTCTATATAACTCATTTTATTGAGATATTTTCTATAGAATTTCCTCGGCTCAAATTTTCTAAGTTTTTTCGTTTGATTTTTTTGATGAGAAGAAAAGAAAAATGAAATGAAAAAAACATGGAAAATTTGAGTCCAGCAAAATCTATAGGAAATATATGAACAGAATGAGATATATAGAAAAATCGAATTCTGTTAACTTTTTCTATTGAATTTTTTCTATTGAACATGTCAATAGAATCAGCCAAAAACTAATAGAAAGTTTAATAGCAATTCAATAGAATTTTCTAACGAATCCGATAGGTTTTTCTATTAGATTTTTTCGTGTGTCGTCTTGAAAAAAATATATATGATATAAATGACTAGGGGAGTAGGGGACTTTCTCTCAGTGTATGCTCTTATTATGATTTTCTTAAGGATTTTACGATGTAAACATATTAGAGAGATAAAGATAATAATTAATTCTCAATGGCATCTTCTGGGTCACAAATAAGGATGAGGGACAAATCAGGAACGTCTCCTAAATTTTTAAACCTTATTTTCTGATTATATAGAGAGACAACAAATTCGCTTTTTACTCGATTATCAGTAATAAATGATTCCAGCAGAAAATGCGAAAAAACACTGTCGATACATCGTAACTTGATAAGTTGCTAATAAGGAAGGTCTTTTAACATCCTCATTTGAACTCACTTGTCTCTAAGATAATAGAACAAGTTGGAAACTTTTTTGAATTGATTCTTTATATTTCAAGCGAGAAGATGGTAAAATAAACCGTATTTTTCTTATTATTTATTTTACATCGAGAACATCCTAAGGAGCTTATACAGATGAATAAATTAGTGAGCAAGTGATAAACCACTATCAGACGGTTCCAAAACTTTGGTTGAATGCCCATTTATTTCGAGGTTTTAAGAGACTTGTTGTAGCTGGATAAATTTTAAACAAAAGTGTATTTTGAACTTTTCACCTGCAATTAATTGGCTTGCAAATAGAGGAACATGTTTAAATTGACTGTCCATGGTCATTTATGATTTATTCAATTCAATTCGAATCATTTTCTTGATATTGTATATATAAATTATATATAATATAATATAATATAAATAAAATATTATACATACCCTCCTTATTAGAAATTTATCCAATAACGAAACAGTGTTTCTTCGCATTTTCTGCTTTATTACTAATATTAATAAATAATAGATCACATAGTATAAATATAATATAATATAGTATAGTATAATATAACAAATTTGCTTTTGGCTTCATTATTTATTAATCTCATTACCAAGTGCTTCTAACAGAAACTGCACAAACACTTTGCTGCAACTGATCAAATTCCTCACAAAAATTGTATTTCAATGTTCATCAGGTACCTAGTCTTCGAGTGTTTCCTGAAGATTCGAGCCAATTCACTCTATCACCTGGGTTTTCCCGACAGTGTCACCGGGGTCGTGACACACTTCAGTCCTTACTTAGTCCTGGAGCATGCACCCTCGCCCCCCGAGCGCATGTCCTCAGGTGGTGGAGGCAACAGTCCTCCACCCCCACTGAGTCCAGCCCCTCTCCAACACATCTCCTGTCAAGTCACGCATTTATCCCTCGCCCACGCCTGCAAAGCCGTCATCTCCTGCATAAAGCAGGAGAAAGACTGGAAAGTTCTCCAGCTGATCCTGAAGGAGATGCCCCAGGTGATGCAGAACAGGGCGTTGATCCTGTCCAGACACAGCAACGACATCGATTACCTAGCAGCCGCCCTTTGCTCCATGGTCAGTGATAAATCCCTGAGGCTCCCAGAGTCCCTCTACAACGTTCCCCAGAAGTTCACCCTCTCTGACTTTCGAGCCCACGTGTTCCCAGTCCTAGCATCCCTCGCCTCCTACCACGCACACCTGGAGCCAAACCTCCAACAGCGATTGATAAAGTGCCTGGAGGTCGGTCTGACAGCCAAATGTGCCAGCCAATGCGTCACGAGTCTCACCACCTGCACCCTGGAGATGAGGGACGCAATGAACAAACTATTATCCGAAGTCTTATTGAATCTATCGAAGATCTCTGCAACCGTTCACATTGCCATTCCCATTCTGGAGTTTCTGTCGACGCTGACGAGACTTCCCAAGGTATTTGCGAGCTTCATTGGGGACCAATACATGTCTGTCTTCGCAATTCTCCTCCCCTACACGAATCCCTTCAAGTATAATCATTACACGGTCTCCCTGGCGCACCATGTCATCGCAGTTTGGTTCCTGAAGTGTCGTCTGCCCTTCAGAAGAGACTTCGTCAAGTTCATAACGACTGGGCTCAAGGCTAACGTCCTGGTGCCCTTCGAGGAGGGACAGCTGATGAAGAGCGACTTCAGTTCGATCAATGAGGACTCGTCGAACAGAAAAAGAAGCTCGAGTCTTACCGAACAGGGGAGTAGAGGTCGGAGGGAGAGACCGATACTGCAGAATAGGATGTTGGGAGGGGATTTGAAGCCTGAGATCAACGAATCACTCAAGACCTTTCACAACGAGTTGACTGAGACCTGTGTCGACCTCATGGCCAGGTACACGTTCTCCACTTACACAGCTAGGCCCAAGAGGCTACCAGCTGCTGATTTTCTGCTGAAGGAGGGACAGTCCATGACTTGGTTACTTGGCACTCGATTGATCACTATTACGACGAGTGGCTGTAGTAATAAAGCCATGAGGGGTGGGCTCTGTGATAACTGCTGGGTGGCTTGTAAGTCCGCTTCGACGCCTGATTATCTGAGCAGGAGTGGAACGGCGGGGTCTGGGGGCATTCCGAGGAGAACGTCCAGTACTGAGGGCTCCAAGGACGAGAGCAGCAGGCTCTCGAGGCAGTCCTCGTCGAACACCGCAGCCAACTCTCCCACTGAGGAGAATAAGAAGTTGGAGCCTGAGGAGGTGGACAAACAGGGGGATAAACCCAGGGAATTCTCCGGGGAGAATCACAAGTTGGAGAGGACTGAGAAGGACGTGACGCCACTGCAGTCTGAGCCTAATAAACTCGAGCAGATTCTCTGCGATCAGAAGCTGGAGGAGCATTCTCCGTGCGCCTGCTGGTGTCAAGGCTGGGCGGAGATTTACGTGCGAAGACCCACTGGGGACATGTCCTGGATCATGAGGATTCAGAACTCAATGCAGTTTGATGTGCCTCAGGACTTTCCTCTGCAGGATATCACGGCGTTGTACATGCCAATGCCTGAAGTGGCTACGAACAACAGGAGTCAAGAGTCCACGACTACTACGGACTCTCTGGATGATGAGGTGGAGGACAGGTCGGATGGGAACTCGAAGGCGCCAGTGGTGGAGCCTCTGCCCCTCACTCTGGTGAACCCCAAGTCGTCGAGGTCAGAGTCGGGGCCGATTGCCATTCCTGGGTCACCGGGGAGACCCAGTCCCTCTCGTCAGAGCTCGAGGGACAGCACTGAGAGCCTTGAAGATGGGGATGAGGACTCGAGGAGGTCCAGGAACCCTGTCAGGAGGTCCAACTCGAGTCCGGAGATGAGCGCCAGTTGGAAGAATCCTTTTTTGAATAAGGATAAACTGATACTGCAGAATGATCCGCAGACTAACCCGGAGTTTGATGTGAAACTCGATGCTGAACTCAAGAAACACGCGAAGAACGCCTATGGGAAGGATATGAGGGTCAGCTGTGAGGCCATTCCTGAGGAGATCTCGGGGATGGGGACTACGCCACCTGCGGTGGAGCATGCACCGGATCAGATGAATGTTCTCAGGTCGCAACACTCTTATCCAGGTGTGTATATTCGTTTGATCCGTCTTGTTCGTTTTGATCCTGAATGAAAGCTTTGTAATCGTTCAAATTAGTAGCGAAGTGGTAAAACGGTATAAGTCAGGTTTGACTATTGACCAGTTTTCAATGAATATCTCGGAATCTAAGGGAGATAGCAAAAAAACTATATATTTGTCTTTACAGGTGCCACCCAGGGTCCCCACCAGACATCCAGCAGCAGCAGTACCTCCAGCAGCACAAGCAACACAGTGCCAGCCTCCCCAACAGCTCTCACCCAGAGCCAAGCCCCCAGCCACCTCTTCGTCCAAACCCGACAGTCTCAGGTCCTAGGACAGCACCACGTCCAGTCGAAGCCCCCGCAGTCCCCAACCCAGTTATACTCCAGATCCTCCTCCACTTCCGATTCTAGTCTCAAACAAATAGCCCAGAGTATCGACACAAAACCCCCAATCGGTCGGATTTTCGATAAGAAGGAAGAAAGGCCAGACCCATCATCGCTCCCTCCCTTCGCCTTTCGTGATCGAGGCCACACGATTTCAGTGATGTCTCCTGTGAAGCAGTCGAGAGAGTGGGAGAACTTGAGGAGAGGGACGAATCCCCCCTCGAGGATCAAAGAGGCACCCAGAACTGGGATTAATCCCAGTTTCGTTTTTCTCCAGCTGTACCACACTGCACATTTCGGTGCCAGCACTGAGAAGCCTCTCCTCGTGCCCCAGACGACTGCTGTCCAGCGAGCAGTGACGAATCTCGATAGAATTCAGCCCTACGAGACCCACAAAATAGGGGTTCTGTATGTGGGTCCTGGGCAGGCCTCGAATGAAGTGGAAATCCTGGCGAATCAGCACGGATCCTTGAGGTACACTGAATTCCTCCAGAGACTTGGGACACTCATCAGACTCAGAGATGCCGACGAGAACGTTTTCCTCGGGGGGTTGGACCGAAATGGAGAGAATGGCAACTTTGCGTACATATGGCAGGACGACGTCACTCAAGTTGCTTTTCACGTGGCCACCCTGATGCCCACCAAATCCAGTGATCCCAAGTGCACTTCGAAAAAACAACACATTGGAAACAATTATGTTTCCGTGGTTTACAATGAGAGTGGGGAGCAGTACAATATTCAGACGGTCAAGGGACAGTTCAATTATGCATGTGTCGTGATACAACCGCTTGATCATGGGACTAATCAGGTGACTGTGCAGGCGAGGGAGGAACTCGCTGAACATATTGGCCACAGTGAGCCGAAGATCATTTCTGATCAGAATCTGGCGATTCTGTCCAGGCAGCTGGCGCTACATGCTAATGTGAGTAGAGAAATTTATCAGAGGCTCTGTAACTTGTGATCTGTGGAGAAAATTTCCGCGACAAAATAACCGACGACAATTTGTCCGTTGATAAATTTCTCACCGACAATTTTCCCCACATCTGGTATTCCGGAGGTACAAAATAACCACCGACAAATTTTCCGGAAATTTCATTTAGATTTCATCCTCTTCACGGACGAAAAAATTTAATAGAAAAACCTATCGAATTCGTTGGAAAATTCTATTGAATTTCTATTGAACTGTTCTATTAGTTTTTGACCGATTCTATTGAAATGTTCAATAGAAATATTCAGTAGAAAAAGTCAATAGAATTTAATTTTACCATATAACTTATTCTATTGAGATATTTTCTATAGAATTTCCTCGGCTCAAATTTTCTGTTTTTACCAAGGATAAATTGTGGGCAGAACAGATGTCAACAATACAATTCTTGTTGGAAATTTTGTCGCGGAAATTTTGTCCGCGGATCATAAAGCGTGTTACCTTTATCCGGAAGGTGTGGAGTGAGTTGAGTAGGACCGGAATATGCCTATTTTTACATTTTTGTTTCCGAATGGAAGCATTGTAGTCGTTCAAATTTAAGTTTCGGATTTTTGTCAGGGATACCCATATCCAAAAATTATAATAACCGTTAAATTATTAAGCAATCAATTAGTTAATTTCACTCTTAAATTTTAATTATTGGAGTAATTATCAATTTAAATATTCAAATTCCGAGTTATTTATTAATCAGTAATTTAGTTAGGATGATTGACAATTATTCGGATAATCGAAAATTCCCTATAAGAAATTTAGTAGAATAGAATCCTTTATTTCCTTGATGCTACATCACTTGTTAATTGTTACTGAACTGAATTGTAATTGAACTGTTACACTTTTACGTCTACACAAGCGAGAGAAAAATATCTCCAATAACACTTCAATAGGGATTCTTACTCTGACAGCCGTCGGGGTAAGACGTATCAGTAAATCGCTCCGTGTACCGATACAAAGTGTCAAGAGTGCGCGAGACAAATAAATAATTTTCCCGTGTTATGCAGGTCGCTCTGACTCTGCGTAACACAAAACCTTTCCCAGTTTTTTTTATTTTTTCTATTTCCGCCAGTGTGAAATAAAAAAAAATCAAAATGAACCCTAACGATAACGAAAATACCGATGTGACAAACGGAACAGCGACTAATGGAAACGACAATGGCACCAGACCAAGGACCACGCAATCACCGATGACTTACTCACGTGCAGTAACCGAAACCAATCTAGGCAAAGACCATGGCATATCCATTGATGCAATTCCAGGAGTCCCGAAGGACGAGTACGCTTACTGTGTGGGTGATTTTATTGGCCCAGAAAACTTATTAACGGTAGCACGAACGAAAGGGAGAATTATAATCTTCGTGAAAACCACTGAACTCGTAGACTTGTTGACGACAGATACTACCGAATTATCGATCGAGGGAGTCGAGTTGAGGATTAAACCTCTTGTTGCCAAAACAAAACGGGTAATCCTCTCTGACGTGTGTCCCTCTCTACTCAATGTTGAAATCGAAAAAAAATTCGCTGAACTGAGATTTAAAGTCACATCAAACGTCACAACACTGAAAGCGGCTTTAAAGAACCCGGCTTACAGCCATGTCCTATCCGACCGTCGACAATTATATATTGAACAACAAGACGCACTCATACTCCCAGAAACAATGAACATTAATTACCAAGGCAACAACTATTTGATCTACGTCTCAGCTGAGAACCCAGCGTGCTTCAACGGCAGGAAAGTTGGACATTTCTCTCGTAATTGTCCAAATCGAAACCGAGAACAGCAGAGCATGGATACAGGGGAAACTGCCGATGACAGCACCCAGCTGTCACAACAGTCTCAAGCGATATCTGGGCTATTGACTACACAAGCTCCCGAGGTACCGACAACCGCTGCTTGTGAGGTAAATAACACCCCACCCACGGAAAGTCTCACCGAAAGTGCTAATAACAGTGACATGGAAGCTGAATTCAAGGATGCAAAGGACAAAAGGACCCTCTCGGAGGATGATCTCAGTGGAGTCGGATCCGCTCTCGAAAACGAAGATCCCGACGACGACTTCGCTACTCCAAAACCGGTAGCGAAAAAACCTAAAAAGGGATTGAAGGCGAGGGCGAAACTCGACGAGAAATTCATCAGGACCAACTCAGCTCGTCTACAGAAGAACTTCACGGAGATAACAGAGACCCACGGACTCAATTACGATGACTTTGTTTCATTGGTTTTTAGATTGCCACGCGAGAAAGACCCATTGCCTCTCATCGACATCTGGCCGCAAAGCCCTGGCCAGTTGGACGGATTTCTCTCGTGTTGCTATCCGTATGTTGACAAGGCAGCACTCAAGGGACGAATCACGGGAATCCGCAGCCGTCTCACGAACCTGGAATACGAATCTGACTCATCTGGGAGTCAACACCAATAATCTCGCGATGTCATTCTTCACCAGCCAGTTCCAACATACAGACTCAGACGGCATCAGGATTCTCTATTGGAATGTTAGAGGACTTCGATGCCATCACGAAGACATCATTGTAGCCTCCGAGTACGCAGACATCATACTTCTTGTGGAGACTAAATTGAACCCAATGGACCAGCGGAAATACAATGTACCAGGTTTTCATCTCTATAGACAAGACAAAGATGTAATGAGCAGCTTACGTTAGGAACAATCTAACGATAAAATTCATAGACGACATTCCACTCATCCATCACACTGTGGAAACACTTGGTTTCGAGGTAACAAATGTCACTCCTGTACCCAGTATATTCGACATTACCTCTATACGGACAGATTGGGAAAAACTCAAGATGTTACTCGATGAATCCTATGTTCTTTTCCTAACGCACTCCTTTGACTCATTGAATCCTGTAGAAAAGTATGAATTTTTCATTGACAATATTAAACAGAATGTTTCCCAATGTACGCCGAAACGTAAAAAAGTAACAGCCAAAAAACAAGAATCCTGTTAGATGGTGGGACGAGGAGTGCGCTAGGGTCTCAAGACTAAGGACCGCGACGTACAAAAAATGGAAGTACCGTGAAAACATGCAAGACGTAATCGCGTATAATAGAGCGGTTGCCACCGCCCGGAAAACATTTAAACATAAAAGAAAACTCGATTTCATCAAATTCGCTTCCGGACTGAATTCAAGAATTAACCTAGGTTATGTATGGAACACCTGCAAAGTTTTAAACAATGCATGGGTAAATCCCAGACACGGACAGCAAAGAGATTTTGATGAAATTGGGCGACAGACCGAGAAAATGATTGACAAACTGGCTTCGCCTCCTAACCCAATTCCACCTACCTTAGATCACCGTCATACCGATCCCGATTTACTCCCACCATCATCACAAAGCACATTCTTAGAATGTCCATTTGATTTCACCGAGTTTAATACAGCCCTCAGTTCCAGGAAAAATAAATCATCTCCGGGAATGGACGGTATCACGTACGAGCTAATCAAGGCTCTACCAAATAAAATCAAACTGATATTACTCGATATTTTCAACGAAATGTACTCGGTAGGAGAATTTCCCCAAACCTGGAACTAATCATCCCAAAACCGAATAAAACAGGAGTCAGGCCGATTTCCCTAACATCCTGCGTATTGAAGCTTTTCGAAACGATGGTGAAAAATCGACTGCAATGGTGGACGGAACATGAAAAGATCCTTCCCAACTGCCAGACAGGTTTCAGGGCGGGCCTCTCTTGTAGAGACAACCTCAGTAACCTGCTTGTTCATGTTGAGGATAGTTTCAGGGACCAGGTTCACACAGTGGCAGCATTTCTTGATATCAAAGGGGCGTTTGATGATGTCAATCCCGATATATTACTTGAAGAAATGGCACGAATTAACTGCCCACAGAGCATACTTCGTTTCGCCAAGTTTCTTACGCACGAGAGATTTATCCGTTGTATCCATCTTGGTGACGAGAGTAAGAGGGTCTGCAAGGGGGTACCACAAGGTGGTGTGCTCTCTCCCTTATTATTCACGATACACGTGAGAAACCTGACTCACCGCCTAGACAGTTCAATAGGGGTATCAATGTTCGCTGATGACATAGAATTGTATACGTGTGTCAGAGGCGAACATAACAACGTTATAGTTCTTGAGCGAGCGGTGGGTCAGGTGAATCGCAATCTCCAGTCGCTGGGACTAGAGCTCGCCCCCGAAAAAACCGTCTTACTCCGATTCAGTAAAAAGGGATCACCCCCCGAAGCAACAAAATTACGTGTTGGAAATATAATTGTTCAGTCCAGTCTCACTGCAAAATTTTTAGGAGTGCATTTCGATCAGAGACTCAAGTTTAACTATCACATAGGTAAAATACAAGAAAAGTGCTTGAAAGCTCTTAATATTGTCAAATTTCTGCGTCGCACATGGTGGGGGTCAGATCCTCAAACGCTGGTCTTATTGTACAAAAGTTTTATTCGCTCATTAATAGATTATGGGCCATCTGTTTACTATCCGAATACTAAACACCTCGCTTCTAAACTAGAATCCATTTAATATGCAGCTATAAGACTAGCCCTTGGTTATAGACGGTCTACCCCCACCAATGTGTTAATAGGTGAATCCAAACTCACACTTATTCAAGACAGCCAGCTACCTAAAAACATTTCTCACCAAGATACTATCCAATCATTCCTCACAAATGTACCAAACCATTAAGCAACTATTCCACATTAACGAAATCACCTCACGACCCAGCGACCGACACCTCACAAAACAAATCATAGAACTGTTACCCAAAGAAAGACTCATAGACAATCACGACAATTTTAATGTATTTAATTATAGCTACGAAATTAGTTCTTTATCCATAGAATTTGATAAAGAAATAGGGCCAGAAGCCATACAATCCAATAATGCCAATGAATACGTGTCCAATGAAATCGAAAATAAATATCCAGACCACTACTGTATATTTATAGACGGAAGTAAAGACTCGAACACAGAACACGTTGGAGCAGCATGTTTTTGCCCAGACCTGAACATTGAGAAGTCGATACAATTAAACAAAGAGATGTCAGTCTTTACCTCTGAATGCATAGCAATAAACCTAGCAATGGACATAATATTAGAGTACCCAAACAAAAACTTTTTCATTCTCTCCGACTCTCTTAGTACACTCCAGAGCTTAGAATCAAGAAAACTAGTCGCAAAAACAAATAGTTCCATCCTTGAAATAAAAAGGAAATTTTCCGAGTTTCACAATGAAGATAAAGACCATGGAAAAATTATTTTCGCCTGGGTGCCGGCTCATGTAGAGATTGAAGGGAATGAGAAAGCGGATATATTGGCAAAAAACGCAGATAGTGATGGGAATACGGAATGCCGAATACCATACACAGATCTCAAATGTATTTTTAAAGCAGAAGAGAAAAGTAACACCGTCACAAAGATAAAAAAAACAAACCGAAGAAATTGGAAAAAGAAAAGGAAAAGGCGTGCAATATTTCGACAAATATTACAAAGAATCATTTCGACCCTGGTACCAGGGAAATAAATCATCTAGAGAACTCATTGTCAGAGTAAATAGAATAAGAGCGGACCATTACCACCTTAACGCCTCACTCGAAAGAATGAGAATAATCCCCGATGGAAGCTGCACCTGCGGGGCAGAATCACAAGACATCGACCACATACTATGGCAATGTTCTCTTCTGAATTCCCAAAGATTCGAACTATTGGCTAAATTGAGATCTCTGAAATATTTCTCTCCATACTGGACCTTCCAGTTTATGGTGGCAACCGACTCCGAAGCTCTTACAGCAATAGATAAATTCTTTACAAAATGTAACCTTCAAATTTAACCAAAATGTAAAAGAAAAGGGTAAAAGGAAAAAAAAAAGCAATGTAAAAAAGTAATTGTATAAGATTTCACCGACAATGTAAATAACCCTCATGTGGGTTCTATACTATAAACCAATAAAAAAAAAACACTTCAATAAATTTTTTTTCTATCAATAATGTGTAAAAACTAATGATAATATCACAGTATCACAATTTAAGCGATTGTTCTATTTCTAGTTTCTTACAATTTCTTATCATCATAGTCTCTCAACACTCTCTCTATCTTAGCTAGCCCCACACACAACGATACATTTACTTCGGCTTCTAGGGCAACTAGTAACTTCTTCCTCCAGCTTCTTTGGTTTGTCTTTCCTCTCTAGCCTGACCACCAGTCTCCATCTGATACTTTCAGTCTTCGCATAAGAAATTTAGTATTATTTACTTAATACAAAATTTACAGTTCCATATTATTGAATATTTATTGAATCATTTTTTTCAAATGTAGATATTGTTGAGCCTCATCCATCAACATTAATTAAAATTAAATTCATGTATTATATTTGTGCCTCCGACTGGAAGCTGTGTAATCGCTCATACAACGGTGATACAAAAATGATTTTTTAAATCGTAAAATAAACGCAAGTACGATTGCGTTCATGCTTAACAGTAGTTTCGTATTTCTATGCCTTCAGCTTGCTTCCATGGTGTCTTCATCCCTGAAACAAAACGGCCACAATCCATACGCATCAAACTGGCTCGAACGTCTGCGTCACATAAAACGACTGAGGAAACGCATCCAAGACACAGCTAACAGTAATCCGGATGGTCCAAATGATGAGTCCTCGTCCAGACCGAATAAGAGAGTTCAGATGGACGATTTCACCGAGTACACAACATGATTCAGCTTTGTGATTTATTGATGGAGATCTATTTGCTGATATTTTTTGTGCAAAAGAACATTCTTATACGTTAATAATGAATGAAAAATGTGAATTGATACAAGATGCTTTTGCCATCATTATTGGTCCTCCTTTATCGATTCCTAATTCGATAGACAATGTCCAGATGCATCCATTCAATATCTCTACATCCAACTTTGGAGGGATCGAGATAGAAAATTTCCCTGGTCCTCCAACGAGACTGATTAAAGTAGTATGAATAAACTCCAGATGAGTCGTTGAGTGTAACGAAGAAAAATGAATTAAAAAACGCAAAAGAAAAATTTTTCATCATTGATAATTTTCCACATGAATTCTAACTTTGATGAGTGTAAGAAATTGATCCATCAAATTCCTTCTTGAATTAATTTTTCCCTAAAAATTGCAGGCGGCTGTATCTTTGATACAGCCATAATTGTACGTGGATACGTCCATCGTCTTTCCTTCTGTCTCGAATTTCTTAGAAACTCCTTGCATTTCCTCGAATTTTATGGAAACTTTGAATTCTCTTGAATTTTCTAGAAACTACTTAAATTCCCTCGAATTTTCTAGAAATTCCCTGAATTTCCTTGAAATTTCTAAAAACTCCTTGAATTTTATCGAAATTTTAAAACTTCTCGAATTACCTTGAAATGTCTAGAATTTTCTAGAATTCCAATAGATGGCGCTGCACATAAGGATCGTTTCCCAAAATGACCCTATTGAAACCATAGACGTATCCACGTCAATAATTGTCTCTCGTTTGACTAAGGTGTTTCGGCATAACACGCCATTTCCGACACGCAGAAACATAAATAATTTATTACAAAACGTTGACACTGACGATAATTTCCATATTGGGCATAGCGTTTTTCTTCATTTTTGCAGATTTTTCAACATTTTTTCTAGATTTTAATCTACTCCCCAACCTCAGAACGTTCATGTTCTCAGCCTGTGTTGTAGTCGCACTTCTAGATTAGTTATTATCAATAAAACTAGACTGCCGATTGAACAAAAACTCGGCCGGAATTTTTCTATTCATATTAACTTTCGCTTAGAATTTGTTCCAGATTTTAATATTCAAAATTCAAGTTATGCCTATACCACTTTAAGGATATTCAAATAGTTCGGGCAATTTTTACAGGAGAAATCCTCTTCAGAGTTTATAGAATAGACCAAAAATATTTTTTACGTGTAATATCAACCTTAGTTTCCGAACATTCTTTCGAGAAAACGATTTTTGAAAAAACGAAATTCATCAGATTGCATCCATAAGAGCTGTACACTCCCACTTCAGTTCACATACTCATTAGTTTTTGGCCGATTCTATTGTAATGTTCAATAGAAAGAATTCTACCGCAAAAGTCAATAGATTTCGATTTTTCTATAGGGGAGAGGGCGCCCAGAGAACAATTTTTACGAATCTCATCTAAAAGTCCCTAGCAAGACCGGTAAATATCCGGAAATTTATCGGTAAATTGTTAGCTGGGCGGGGTAAAATGGACACTTTTTTTTTAGAAATATTCATAACTCAGCCAGAGATTTATGAATTAAGCTCAGTTCAGGTTCCTCACGAAGGAGAATAATTCTGCTTTCAACTGAAAAATGAAATTATTCCATGTGATCAATTATTCAACACGTCATGAACATTTTAAAAAAGTCAAAAGTGTCCATTCTACCCCACCCTCCCCTATAACGTATTCTATTGAGATATTTTCATATCGAATTTCTTAGAAACGCTTAGAAAATTTGAGTCCAGGAAATTCTATAGAAAATATCCAAACAGAATGAGTTACATACAAAAATCGAATCCTATTGACTGTTTCTACAGAATACTGTCTATTGAACATTTCAATAGAATCGGCCAAAAAATAATAGAAAGTTCAATAGAAATCGAATAGAATTTTCTAACGAATTCTCTAGGTTTTTTTATTAAACGAGATTAGGGCGCGCGCTCCGCGCGCGTATGTCCTATTGCATGGGGATCAATGTATGTCAATTGTAGTAAATAATGTTATATTAGATTTCTGAAGTTAATATCAAGTTTTTCAGAGGAAAAATTTCTGGAATGTATTGTATTTTTTTATATACAATACATCCAGTGTTACGTTTTTTGAAGCCAATCTATTCGGCGTATTGTGTCATTAGATTTTTTATAAATGATGATAGCATACATTATAGATAGTACGATAATTCTATACTATATTATATATACTATGTGTAATATACAATATACAGGGTGTCCCATCTGAAAAGATGCGGTTAAATATCTCTCAAGGGAGGCGGGTAACAAAAAAATGTTTCATACAAAAATTGTAGGGTTTCAAGAGGTATGTACACAAAAATTGATAAAAAACAATGCTGAAGTGCATTAATTAATTAATTGTTGCTATTTGCACGGTTAATTGCTTGGAAATTTGTAAATAAATGAAATAGTACATTACGTAACTAGTGTGGAAAGCAGGCGGTTACTCACGAGGGCGGCGCAGCCGCCCGAGTGATACCGTCTGCTGTATCACTGGAATAAATAATAATGGAATATGTGTAGATCGATTCAGGGGTCAATTCTGAGTCGATCTATGACTACGAATTTTGACCCCACTTTTCCACCCTCTACTACCTCTATCCAACATGGCCGACACGGTCATAAAAAAATATTTTCACACGTATGTGTAGATCGATTCAGGGGTCAATTCTGAGTCGATCTATGACTATGAATTTGGACCCCACTTTTCCACCCCCAACTACCCCTATCCAACATGGCCGACACGGTCAAAAAATGTTTTCACACGTATGTGTAGATCGATTCAGCGGTCAATTCTGAGTCGATCTATGACAATGAATTTGGGCCCCACTTTTCCACCCCCAACTACTCCTGTCCAATATGGCCGACACGGCCATAAAAAAATGTCTCCCCACGCATGTGCAGATCGATTTAGGGCTCAATACTGAGTCGATCTCTAACCATGAATTTTCACATGTTTCCACCCCCAACTACCCCTTTCGAAGGTGACTGATACGGTCATAACAAAATGTCGTCACACATTATAATTCCTAGATACTTTCAATTGAGGAGTGCTTTACTTGACTAGCTAGACGCTATGGGCAATCCGACCTCCTGAGATAAATACCATATTTTATGTCTGTGCCTTCGGCTTGACCCTTCGGAGATTACCTTGCGTATCCTAACCATGGAAAATGCCCAAAGTGTCAGAAAATGGCTCCATCTGTGAGGGAATAGGGGAACCTGGATCCGAGTTTCAAGTGCCGCTAGTGACGGATGGCGTCATCCACAGATCAGTACATTTTCGTTTCCTAAGCGTGCATATGTGCAAAAAGGTTGTTGTAACGTTCGTTAGAAAATTTGCGCACGATAAGTGCGTTAATTCCATCAAAAGCAAAGGCTCAAAGGTAGGTTATTCCCTTTGTCCTTTTTTCCTGTTCTTTTTGTTTTTCTAGTAGGGATTAGGGTACAAGACAGCGAGAATTCAGCGAATTTCGCCTANATCAGTACATTTTCGTTTCCTAAGCGTGCATATGTGCAAAAAACGTTGTTGTAACGTTCGTTAGAAAATTTACGCACGATAAGTGCGTTAATTCCATCAAAAGCAAAGGCTCAAAGGTAGGTTATTCCCTTTGTCCTTTTTTCCTGTTCTTTTTGTTTTTCTAGTAGGGATTAGGGTACAAGACAGCGAGAATTCAGCGAACTTCGCCTACCAGTGCCGACCGCCATTTTCGGTAACATTTGGATCGGTAGCTAAACCGAACGTTCAGCAACGGGCAAGTCGCTGGTTTCACCTCGACCCCTGTTGCAACTCGCTGGCATCCCCTCGAGTAGAATGAACGATTAGCATTAGGGAAGTCGCTGGTTTCACCTCGACCCCTCTTGCAGCTCGCTGGCATTCCCTCGAGCAAACATGAACGTTCAACATCTGGGAGGCCGCTGGCTTTTCACCTCGGTTTTTTATGGCTCGCAGGCACCCCCTCGAGCAAGGACGATTGATAGCTGAGCCATCACATACATATCAAATATAATTAACATTGGCACAAAGTCACGCCCGGAACCGTTGGAACGCTGGTTTCACCACGTTCCCTAACCTATCAATGTGTTTGGTTCGCGGACTTCGTCTCGAACTCACATGCTAGGTTGCAGGGGGCCCCTATGGGCTCTTTTCTAACCTTGCCTCTGCTCGTAGATAACTCTCGATCATTGGCCTGATTTTTGTGTTTTTCAGAATGGATTCAATTCCAGAGATTACGGTGAAGGAGTTGCTGGGCGAAGCTGCGGAGACAGAGGNCTTGCCTCTGCTCGTAGATAACTCTCGATCATTGGCCTGATTTTTGTGTTTTTCAGAATGGATTCAATTCCAGAGATTACGGTGAAGGAGTTGCTGAGCGAAGCTGCGGAGACAGAGGAGAAGGATGCGGTGCTGGACCGGTTAAAATCGCTAGCTATTTCTACTCTCCCTGAGAGATGGCTGGGGATGAAGATACCCATCCTTTCCATATCGGATTTGTTTGGAGAGGTCAAGAAAGTTCCGAACGAAGTTCTTTCCAAGGTCAAATTCGCACTCCCGACGGTGGAGTTGGCGAGGGGTTTCGACCCGGAATGCTCGTCCCTCAGTGAGGAAGCATACGATAATATAAAGCTCTGGATGCTGGGTTGGCCCTTCGGTAGGGCATTAGTCACGAGTCCTCCTACCTTGATCAATCAAATACGGGGGTCCTCATCGGAGGCACAATCCTTCCTCAAGCTGATAAAACCAGTGAGTCATCTGTTTATTTCTCGTCCTGAAGCAGACCAAACACTTCAGGGGAATAATAGGAAGGAGGATGAAAAGATTGATGAGGATCTCAAGGACGAGGTTATGCCAGAACACAAGCAGGCGCGTCGTAGCTCGTTTGAGTCGCAGGTCATCTCATTGATCAGAGATCTGAGTGATAAGGTCGAGAAAATCCAGGACTCGGTGGGCCACACTTGTCATAAGGCTGGAAGTTCCGGATCAGAGGTTTGTTATTCTGATGGGGAAGAGTCTTGGTTCTCAGAGAATGGTCAGGAGGCATCCCAGGGGAGATCCAGTCCTACTACTACTTTTATGGATTTAGATCTATGCCTGGCTCCTCAGGTGAAGGAGTGTGAACCCCTCATCCCAGCTCCAGATCCAGAAATTAAAGCGCAGGGAATCGCTTGTCAGAAGCTGGGCTCCTCGTCTTGGGATAAGATAAGATACAAAGACGTCCAAAAGAAGCTACAGGCTTCCCCAGTGTTCGACAGTCTCAAAGTGAATAGCCAGTTGGGTCTATTTGCCCCGAAATCTTACAGCTCCTCTGTCCTGGCCAGAGCGGATGCTATGGCGGGTACGTTCACTCATGGTCTGCTCCTACAGAGACAGAAGCTATCGTCGGCTGTTAAATCCTTGGTGACGAATCATCCTCAGATGATAGAGGACATCAAGGAGGCGTTCCTTGGGGAGTCATCAGTAAAATCAGTCTCGGATGACTTGCTGCACTTCGCTTGTGCTCGTAGAGCGGAGATCATTGGGTTGAGAAGAGGTTTCTTGAAACCTGGGAACCCTCATCAGGCTCTGAAACTTTCAGAGATTCCACCATCAGAGTCGCACCTTCAACCTTCGACAAATCTGTCGGAGTTCTTAAATCAACAGGGCGCTGTGGAGAAGGTCTTTTTTCGCAAGAAAGCGCCCTTTCATGCCAGAGAGCCCGGTGATAATCGGTCGAAGTCCCAACCAATGGCCAAAAGCCAACCTCAGCCGCGCACTTCAAAGCAATCCAACAGATTCTCATCCAACCGCTCTCGGAAGCCCCTCCCCACTCTAAAGATGAGAACTACGAACCAAGATCTTCGAAGAACTCCTCAAGAACTCGAGGTGAACCTTCGAAGAAGAAGCCTCGAAGTCTTCAAAGAGCATGACTATCCGTTCGAAGGAGGTCAGCTCAACAGGTTCATTCCCCAGTGGGAAAAATTGGACGCTCNAACCCATCTTAAGTATTTTAAAAGGGTATACAATCCCATTCACAAAGAAACCTCCAACGATTCCGCTCACCAGGGCGAACGTAATGAAATATTCAACCAAGGAATCCCCGCAAATGTCCAAAAAAATGGAGGAGATGCTACTCCAGAAGGTGATCGAGAAGACGAGTTGGGAAACAGGTTTCATATCTCCAATGTTTTTGCTACCAAAGTCGGATGGGAAATTTCGACAGATCTTCAATCTTCGAGCTCTAAACGAGTATCTTCATCCTCCAAAATTCCGGCTGATCAGCCAGCGCAAGGTGCCTCTGTTTCTCCAAGCAGGCGACTTCTTGGCGAATATAGAACTCTCTCAAGCATATCTACATGTGCCAATCAAGGAAAGCCACCGCACATATCTCTGTCTGTCCTACAAAAACCAGTTGTACAACGTAACCTGCTTGCCGTTCGGGCTGTCGACACCCCCGGTAGGCTTTTCAAGGATTACCAATTGGATAGCGGGAGCTCTGCGTCAGAAGGGAATCCGAGTTCTAGTTTATCTAGACGACTTCCTCTTCGCTCATCAGGACGCCGAGACGTTGCGAGATCAGATCGAATTTGTGACGGGCCTTCTTCACTCCTTGGGCTGGGTGATAAACTCCCAGAAGTCTATGATCTCCCCGGCTCACAGGATCGAGTTCCTGGGGATCTGGTGGGACACCGAGCGCAACGAGATGGCTCTCCCCGAAGACAAGAAGTCTCGGATTCTTCGACTCTTGGAGAGGCTTTTGAGCTCGGGAATTTGGACGTGGGAATTGGCGAGTTCACTCCTAGGGATGTTGAACTTCGCAGCGATTGTGACACCCCTGGGAAGACTGTTCTCCCGTCAACTCCAGCGGGGCTGTCGCCGCCTTTCAAAGATCACCCCCAAGAAGGAGGCCCCTCTTCTTTTCTGGAGCAGCCAGGACTGCTCATGGTGGAAAGAAAATATTCATCAGACGAGTCCAATTTTCCGAGAAGAACCCGATATCTTCCTAACGACAGATGCTTCCCAGACCGGCTGGGGTTTTCAACTGGAAAGTTTTCATCAGGCGGGGAAGTGGTCCCCGGATCAGTTAGAGTGGCACATAAACCGCAAGGAGCTCTTCACGGTCTTGCTGGCGGTTCAGACTTTCAAAGACTATCTGAGGAACCGGTCAGTCATGTTGCAGGCGGACAACAAGACAGCTGCCGCTTACATCAGGAATCAAGGGGGAACACGTTCGCAACCGCTCTTGAGTCTAGTCAAGGAGCTTCTGATTTTTTTGAATCAGTACAGAATTCATCTGGTCCCATTCTTTCTGCCGAGGATACTCAACACAGTGGCCGACAGACTCTCAAGAGACCTCCCACTCCCGGACTGGCATCTGAGCTCCGAGATCCTACAAAAGGTCTTCGAGAAGTGGGGGTCGCCACAGATCGATTCATTTGCAACAGCTCGCTTGAAGATAACCCCGAGTTACGTTTCACTGGAGGCAAACGACCACGGCGCAGTGTTCATAAATGCCTTCAGCAGGACATGGAATGTGGAATTAGAATGGATATTTCCTCCTCCGCCTCTGATTCCCAAGGCTCTCCGACACTTGAACTGGGCGAAAGAGATCTTCCTTCTAGTTGCTCCGAGGTGGGAAAGGACGTTCTGGAGGGGAGATCTAAAGAAAAGAAGTCTGGACGCTCCGTTCCAGCTTCGAGATCTCGAGAACCACCTTGTAGACGTAACAACGGGGTTTCCCCCTCAGAAAGTCGAAAAGCTAGTTTTGGAGGTTTGGAAGGTACGAGGTGAGGTCAGTTAGTGAGCGGACTATCGGAGACGGATGTTAGTCTTGTGGGTTCGGCTTGGAGGAAGTCCTCTTAGAAAACTTATACGTCTATTTGGAACCAGTGGTTTTCTTGGTGTAAAGTAAATGGAGTTTCGTCGGATGATCCCAGTCCTCAGCAACTGGTCACGTATCTGAGCTTTTTATTCTCGAATAAAAACTTGGCTTATAGCTCAATTCTGAATCACAAGTCGGTGATTTGTTCACTCAATAATCCTGGGGGAGGGACCAACTTGAGCGTTCATCCGCTGGTGAGGTCAAAGGCTTAGAAATATTTTCAAGGAAGCGGATATCGTGGCGAGTCCAGGTTCTATCAGATCTGCGGTAGCATCGCATAACTATCAAAAAGAGATGGATTTGGACGAGCTCCTCAAGAGAGGAAACTGGAAAGGAGCAAATAATTTCTTTAAGCATTACTGCAAGTCGGTAGAGAGACCTAGTGTTCCAATTTCGAAGGGTTCTCTGACTGGGAGCTTCACACCAGTCTAGTACCGAATATGTTTCTTTATATTTTTTCATTCCATGTACTTTCTGTATGGAAAATAAAATGTTTATTCTCAAAGTACATGAGGTCACAATACATTTTCAAGTGCCGGCAGACTATAGACATCTCTCCGAAGGGTCAAGCCGAAGGCACAGACATAAAATAGAACCGTTTTCCCCCCGAAGGGAAGAAAACGTATATTTTAGGTCTTGCCGAGGCTTGACCCGAGTAAGGCCTTGCCGCCAACGGGAGCATGAGGAATGGCTTTTATCTATTCCTCATGTTTCGGAGATAATACTGATCTGTGGATGACGACATCCGTCACTAGCCGCACTTGAAACTCGGATCCAGGTTCCCCTATTCCCTCACAGATGGAGCCATTTTCTGACATTTTGGGCATTTTGCATGGTTAGGATACGCAAGGTAATCTCCGAAGGGTCAAGCCTCTTCCCTTCGGGGGGAAAACGGTTCTATTAACCTTTTTTCGGGAGCATGCTGTATTTTCAATAAAAGTAAAACGCAAATCACTATTCATAATCAGTCTTTTTATTCTCATGTGTATTAATGTCTTTCGGTAATTTTTAAGACCATATGATACCCACGACTTCAATACTCCCGGTTCATCCACTCTTTCAGTGAAATTTTTTATCCGTTCGTTCGGTGTTTCCTCAGCGGAGCTTGTCAATTTATCGGGCTGCACATTTCTGTTTTTCACCACGACGTTTTCCCCATGCTGCACAATATAAGTAACGGGTTCCGGGAGCAGCCGGCGTCGACCTTCTTCAGCACTAGTCTGCTAATCTCTAAAGTCAATGGAAAAATTGAGAATATAGTTGTTGATCACACATCTTTATATACCGTGCTAATCTGTTATGCCCCCCGTCAACTTCATAGAGAAAATCTCAAAATGAGACTTCAAACGATGAATCAGCCCTGTACCCCACTCTTTTCGTACTGTTCATTATTTTTCGAAAAATTTAAAGCAATATCAAGGGAATTCAGCTGTCGAAAGTATTCGATTGTGTACTGCACCACCGAAAAAGGAATGAAAACGAAATATAGATCTTCATAAGCTCCCTTTGCACCCCAGGAAGAAGAAACGAGTCAAATTTAAGGAGGAGTTCGTCTAGCCTAAGTCCACGGTATCGGCACCGACCTAGTTAACAATAATTTCCTTCGGCTTGACACATTCACCCGCCTTGTGTCGTGGAACATCGACGGTGCCCATGAACTTTGGGAGCATAGAAATTTCTTGAAACAATTCCATTTAATCGTAACAAAAAACTCACCTGCAGAAGAAAAACGAGGAAAACCACCTGAAATTCCTCAGTACCTGAGGAATTTCAGGTGGGCAACGCAGCCGGCTGTTAGGACAAAATGGAAAGCTGGAGGGGGAAATCTATTCGCCGTGAGAATATCCTGCAGCAATACTCTCGATGTACCAGAATGCGACTGTGGAAGACGGATAAAGGGACTTCAATCTCCAGAGGGAAAAACACTGGAAAATCTCACAATCTACAACAACAACATAACTCAACTGACCATAGGCAATTGGAATGCGCACATTGGGGCTAGTCAATGCCATAGTGATCTGCTGTAAGAAATGAGTTTCTACTATGAGAGGCGCTCAGATAATTCGGGGCAGAATCGAGAAGGCGAAGCATTGCTGGAATTGCAAGCACTGAATGATTTACTTATATTGAACCGAGCAATTGAGGGTGATAGCCTAGAGAGATTCAGATTCCTGGGAGGATCGTTTTCTGTCCTGAACTTCGTCGTCATCAGCGCAGCCGACGCCTCTAAGGTGGTGCAGGAGCTGGCGGTTATAGCACTACTGGTTCTTACTACCTGCCACTCTGTTTACGAGTGAATCTATTCCAAACCAGGAAATCCGTCCTCCGGGAATGAACCAGAGGAGACTGGCACGTCAAAGGAGCGATTGCTCTGGAATATAGCGAAAGAAAAAAGCTACTAAGAAGCTATAGATAAAAGACTCTCAGAGTTTGAGATTTTTCAGAGCAGTTTTATATCGCACCTGAACATCGTTAAAATCAACCTTTCATTTCCTTTATATTCCCTTCAATGTCGGAAGGGGGCGGGGGCAAGCATTGTCGAACAAATGAAAACTTTTGTCATGAACAACTACTTCAAATTTTCGTATAACATTTTCCGACAAGTACAACAAGAACGCAAAATTGGATGATGGTATGGAAATATTTCACTGAACCACCTATCGAAAGATGATTAAAAATTTCTTCCCAAGACACTCGATATCATTATTTAACTATTCCAATATCGCAGTCGTAATACTTACTCCTTACGTCCTTTAGTACTGATGTCATTGCATTTTTGTCCTTGGTGTCTATGTTACGAAATTTAGCCGTGCTGCGTTCGTGGACCTGCATGAGGGCCAAGGCTAAATTTTTTACCATTGCTGGTAGCGTAGCTGCCTCACATGCTCTTTCAAAATATTCAGGATCGAGGTTGAACGAGCGTTTCTTGTCGCCATTTCCTGTTGTTATAATCACCTGTGAATCCAAGGAAATATTAAATTTTCTCTCCTCAAAGGAACCATAGTAATTTGACGGTGACTCTGCAAGAAATCATTTCAAATTTTCCAGTGTGTAAAATTTGTTCACTCTTTAAAAGATTTGGATGTCGCAGGTACCTTTTAATTTCAGTTTTCGAATACAAAACTATACATACATACACAAATTACAGGATAATTTTAGGTCTGAATGCAACAGATACCAAGTTCAAATTATTATTACAGTAATTGTTTTAGTTACAATACCAGTTAGTTGTTAGTTGTTAGTTGTTTTAGTAACTATTGAAATACGTATAATAGGAGTAGTATTGGGAACAGCAGTAGAAAACGTGAAGTATTAATAGTCTGAATAGTGGTATCAAATATGGAATATGAGTAGTGGTATCATACTACTTACGATCATTAAAAGAATTCATGAATCACATTCGAACTCATCACATCCTTAGAGCGATCCTCTGTGCGAGTTGATGATTTCTCCGTCTTCAGTGATTCCATTTCGCGATACATTCGCTGGAAGTCCTTCTCTAGCTTCTCGATTCTTTGGAAACACATGCATTCTGAGGCCTTATATGTCAATGAGGTGTAAAAAAATGAGTAGGTAAATGCTGGGTGTCACATTAGAAAGAGCACAAACAAAATGAAAAAAGTGACGCACCCATCCTGAAATTTCATCGAGACACGCAGGAGCGTATCGGACAAGTATTCATTTTAAATTATGTAATAATCATTTGTATTATCGACATTCTCACTTGCCGTGGTTTGGAAACTCATCTTTTCCAGCGTACCAACAAGTGTTCATCGATCAATTTAAAAGAAATTTTCGCTTACGTGAACAATTATGTTGAGAAGACGCGTCAAGTACCGTTGGTCCTGACTTATTTTTTGAACTTTTTTTTTAAACAACAAAATTCTAAACTCTCGGGAATTAACGGAAACTGAAGGGAGCGATATTTGCAAATCACATGAGTTTGAAATTGCCGTCTTGTATCAAACAATATTTTACATCACACTGTGCGAAAAAGTGACTCTTAAAACACACTGTAGAGGAAAAAAGTTGTTTCCACGCATTACGATTAAAACATTCATTCGGTACTGGTGGAATCAAGGATAATACCAAGAATTTCACAGCAATATTTGGTAAAAGCAGAGAAATAAAATGGCATATATTTGGAGGCAAGATTTACGTAAATATTTAAACCATGAGAAATGCTGAAATGCCATCGAGAAAATAGTGAAATGATACATTAGTGATTGCAGTTTACTATAGAAATTTTATATGGATACGGCAGTTTTTTCAATATAGTTTTTGAATACATTTTCAATTATTTCTGTCATGGTAAGTTCTTCTATACTTACATGAGCTAATGTGGCCAGCGGACCCCGGCATGCATGTGTCGGTGGAGAGAGCGCTCGGAAAGAATCAGGGAGTGACATGGCCAGCTCTTCTGAAGGTTGGTCTGACATAAGCCCACAGTGCTTCAGGAGAATCTGAGAGGCACGTGGGTGGATTTTTTAACAAATATTCCACAAGATGTGGAGGGGATGCTCGAGCACAATCAGAGGGAGACGTGGGTAGGGAATGCTTGTTCATAGTTGAGACTGAAGCTTGGTGCGATGATTCACCACGAATGTCAGATGAGCCCTGTGATTCCTCCATTCTTTCACGCTGATTCTATTTAATAATAGAGTTCCTAGTCAAGAATTTTATTTAAAAAATCGCAATCTTCGAGCTGTAAAGTCTCAAAATTAAATCTGGAATTACTTAATCAGTAATAATCAACTAATTGGTGGCTTAATTGACTGATTAGTTAGTTAACACTCCGATAGTCGCGCTATGAGCGCGGCGCCGCGTTTTTTTATATTTTTGTGATAAAATCTCACAAATGCGTCTGAAAAAACTGAAAAAATGGGACATCCTACTTTCAACTGTCTACAATGCTTATATGTCATCAGTTTTTCAAAATTTCATTTCCACCGTTGAAAAAATAATTTTTAATGGATGGCGGACCCCGAAATCGGGCGCCGTGCTCACGGCGCGACCGAACTCGTAGGTAAAATTTTGCGGGTGACGTTGCCGCTTCAATGCGAGTAGTGGTCAATTGGTGGGAGTGAGCTGATCGGCAGCTAGGTGGGGAGTAGCGGCCGATAAGTTGATGTTATTATTTTTATTTTCAGACACTGAAATGTCCAACTACCATGAATTTATCAACAAAAATTTTTAATTCCTCAAATGCCCATTTGTTTTCCAACAATGATTATGAATAAAAAAATGATCTATTTGAATGTGAAATCCCGTATATTGAGTGCGGTTAGGTGCCAACTAGAAATTGGCAACGTAAACGGTAATCATTTTGCAGCTCAATATTTGTCTTGAGCGCGCCAAAGCAGGCTGCGAGAGCGTGGCAACGCTGCTCTCCGAAAAGCATTGCGGCACAGCGCCTACGGCGCGACCAGCCGAGTGTTAATGATAAATAATCAACTCATTCTTTATCAGCTCTTGAAAATGAATGAACATGGACCAACTTTTCCAAATTAACTGACGAATTATTTTATTTTCAAGATGCATGCAAGAAAAGGACATGGAAAGAAATTTTTTTTTCAACTTTAGGATTTATACGATACCTGTGAGTCATCATGGATTTTACTGAGCGTTTCGCTGCATCGATGCATTCCAATTGGTTTCCAATGAGCGATTTTCCCCTAAAAAATAAAAACGGTTATAAGGAAATTTTAACAACATATCGCTGCAATTTTCACGCCATCTTTGAAAATGTAACGGAGATGTTCCAGTTTTTGCTCCAAATTTCGGCATGCAATATGATAATTACAAGATTGGTTTCCGGATAGATAGCGCTGTGAGGTTCATTGTACCGATATTGTGACAACATTACAGTTCGTATTTTGAGTTCATCGAGTAGTGGAACAGCGATTAACTTTGTGTAAAAAAGCTGGGGATCTTTTGGCTCATTTTCTATTGAAAAATCCACCATCAGATAAACATTAAACCGATAATTATTGTGATAAGTGATAAGTAAAAAGTTATGATTGAAAAAAGCGTAATTCATTTCGACTATGATAAATTGCACATCCAATTCGAAATTGGAAAAAAAGGATTTGTGATTGTCTTCGCGATGTTTTCGGATAAATAGTACATGGGCTGAAAATCCCACTAATGCATATGCGTGACGCACAACCAACTATGATATTCATAATCTGGGTTCCCAGGTGAGTCAATAAATCGTCGTAGTTTCTGCGTATACCCAATTTTTTTGGTAGAAATAGGTGAGGGTGTGGATAGTATTAATTTCAGGGTTGACGAGCTACAGCATGTGAAATTCATTGTCATTTGAACATTTGTTATGTTAACCATCTAAATTCATGGCGGTTGAGGATAAATGCTTCAGAGCGCACTAATACCCCGAGCAAGGGCTAATTCGCTATCCCACCCCCAATAACTCTTCATCTATCGTACTTAGAGAAAAGGGTTATATAAAATAAAAAATATTCATTTGCATATTTCATACATCTCTTGTTGGAAACTTTTCTCCATATCTATTACCGTTTCCGTGATATGCGCGCTTTGTTAATTAAATTATTTATAATAATATAAATAGTATTGGCATATTTGAGAACCAATTCTCCATTCCTCATTATAAAACTATATGACGAATATTTATGACATACTAGAGAAAATACCCAGACAGCAAAACTCGACAATTTGCCGCAATTTATCGGCAAAATAGCCTTCTTTATGGCAAACTTTCGGATCACTGTTTACTGGGTAATCCTAAGAAAAGGATTAATTGATGATCAGTTGTACTCCGTACTTGGAATCGGTTTAATGTTGAATGTGTGTTGAAATTGTAAGAACTGTGTCCTGGTGAGTCTTTCATTTTGTTTTTCATTCCCGATTTTCTGTGTTAGAGTTTTTGCTTTGTGGTAATAGTTCCTCTTTCCACAACTCTCCTCTACTAAATACGTGCCTTCCTCGTGCTAATAAAGAATATTTTATAAAGTATTCCACTGGATTTGTTTATTTTTACCGGGCCATTATATATCGACAAAAAAATAATTTTTCCATTTCCATCTTCATAGTTTGAGTGACTAAAGAAAAAAATTGAATTTCATAATGAGTAATTGAATATTTATTTCCATACACGTAAAGATAATCCAACGCGGTTGAAAATAACAGGAATTACACTCTATTTGTCTATGTTTAAACCCATGATCGCGAAGTCAGTGTTTGCTAAACAGTAAGAATTCCTCGGAAGTTGAATTTTTTTCAATTTGGTTTTATAAGGGAAATCTCATAACACATTTTGCCACATTAGCAATGAAGAATCAAGATTACGAACCATTTGTGAAAGTATAGTAATAGTAGTAATTGTATTTGTCTCCATGGTTTTTGTTGGAAGAAATAATTTAACGTTAATAACACAGCAACGGTCCTCAACGTAGACTTGTTTTCCTGGATTTTGTGGCTAAATGATTTCCGTATAAATCTCGCTATTTACTGATATCTTTTCGAGCTACGAAGAATATTCAAAAGATAGTTAATGTGAGCGTGTATATGGTGAGACCGTCATTTAAGCCACTTGTAACGCGCAAATGTAAAAATTTTTCCATGCGGCGTGAGGATTGAACTGCAACTACAGAGTATAAAATTCATTTTCATATATTTTTATTTGGTAAATAATGAATGTAGAGTATACGAGCAATGGAAATACCATGGAAAAATTTTTTTTTTGCGAAAATGGCGAATGCGGCTACTGAGCCCCCTGAATACCGAGTGTGAGGAGATACCGGGCGGATATTTTTCAATAGAATAACCTCAAAGCTTTCTCTCTTCTATTCCCTTTACAGTCATAAAAATAAATGATCAAGAAGCGAAAAGTGGCGACGAAGGCGGGCTACTGAAGGCAAAGCAAATTATCTTGTGTGAGAATGTCATTGTTTGTGCAATAATTTACTGGCTTTTCTGCTCCTACAGTGGCATAACAAATGGGAAATTTATTTGAAGGAAATAAGCTCGATCGAAAATGTCATTCCTCGCAGAGTCAATCGTCAGCCATTCTTGTTCGACTCAACTATTGATTTGAACTATTTCTCGTTTCACCGTTGCTCATTTGATCATTTTCTTTGTTGGTTTTCCGCTTGACCATTCCTTATTCGACTTACTACTCTTGATTCTCTGAATTTTTTGCATATTAGATCATTTTAATATATCATGCCCGGAAACTGCATTCGCGTCTTCCGAAAAAACACGGTCATAGTGGTATTCGGTGCCCTCGTGACATGCCTGGAAACTCGATCTTGGGGTTATTATACGTTGTTTTCAATTATGTCTAAATTCGTAAACTTTTTTTAGGAAAATAAATATTTTTCTATCAGACCACCGGCATGGCTGGCCTAGGACCCTTCAGACATCATATTCGGTGCAAATAATACAATT